GTCAGAACTCAGGTTCACATGGATGCAAATCCCCCGACAGATAAGTAAACAGTCTAGCCCGGAAGTTAGTACCCCAGGGTGGGGTTGGAGACTCCTCGCAGTGCACAGAGAATGACCCTTCAGGTAAGCCAATGGTCATTCTCCTGTGCACTGCTTGGAGTGTCCAAGCATAGGACATACCCAAGCTAAATGTCACTAGGGCAGGTCAAATTCGAACCCTGAACTCAATTGTCATTAAAAAGAATACTCTGCAAGATCCATCTTCCAAAGGCCGCATCCGCAGAGGCATATTTGTCCAATTTATAATGCCTGACAAAAAAAGAAGTGATGTCCAGGCTCCAGCCTTGTAGATATCCTCGACTGAAGCCTGGGTCACTCAGGCCGCCATGATGGCTGCACTTCTGGTCAAGTGCGCGGTCAATCTGGGCGGCGCCAGTCTGCCCTAGTGTTCATAAGCGAGTGAAATACAAGCTTTGAGCCAGCGCCCCATGGTGGAAGAGGAAATCTTGCGCCCCACGGTCTCTGGCTGGAATGATACAGAGAGCGCCTCTGAATGATGGAAGGAAGCTGTCTGCTTGATGTATCTCTTCAGTGCCCTACACACATCGAGGGTGTACCACCAGCGCTCCTGAGGATGACTGGGTCCGGGACAAAAGTCCGGCAGAACTATCTCCTGGGCTCTGTGGAAGAGCGAGTTAATTTTGGGCACAAATGAAGGATCCATTCGAAGGACCACCCTGTCGCTATGAATCAGACACAAGTCCTCCTTAACCGACAGGGCCGCTAACTCCGAAATTTTTCTAGCCGATGTAATGGCGATGAGGAAGGAAGTCTTAAGCGACAAATGTCGGATGGATGAAGTCCTCAGAGGTTCAAACAGAGGCTCAGAAAAGCTCTTAGTACTGTACAACAGAAAACTCCCAGGTAGGGTAACGATGCACCACCTGAAGTCGTAGGTCTGAAGCTCCCTTCAGGAAGCTACGTATGCTCGGATGACGGCTGAGCTGTTGGTGAGAGCCCGTTGACAAGATGGTGGACAAAGCTGCGACTTGCCATCTTAAGAGTGTTTAGAGCAAGCCCTTGATCGAAACCTTCTTGGAGAAAATCCAAAATGGGAGAGACGTCGTAAGAGGGTCCTGGATACGGTGAGTGCACCAGCGGGCAAAGGCGGCCCATGTGGTGCCGTAGATTCTGGTATTGGAAGGCCGCCTGGATGGTACGGATGACCTGGCTGGAGAACTTGGCCCGAGTTAGGAGATCCCTCTCAAGTGCCAGACGGTCAGCTGGAGCCACTGGGGCTCCGGATGGAGAATGACCCCCTGGCTGAGAGAGACCAACTCCTGCGGGATTCTCCAGGGCCAAGCAATGGAGAGGATGGCCAGGTCGGCGAACCAGGTCCTTCTTGGCCAATGAGGTGCCACTAGAAGAACCTCCGCCCATTCCACAAGTATCTTCCTGATGACCCGAGGAATCAGCGGCAACAGGGGGAAGGCATAGAGAAGACCCAGAGGCCAGGGGCTGTTGAGGGCGTCCACCCCCTTATCTTGAGGAGAGTGATACCTGATGAAGAAGCGAGGCAGTTGAGAATTCTCTGGTGTGGCGAAGAGGTCGACTAGGGGCTGGCCGAACCTCTGCGACAGTTGTTGGTAACGACCCCTGTCTCGAAATGGTTGTCTATCCTGTGCCTGGTCTGACCCCTGGGGGTAGGGACGCTGGAAGGAGGAGGAAGCGGCTTGCAAATCTGATGCTCAAAAGGATTGTTTGCGAAAGGAAGGGGAGGGGACCTATGGTCAGGTTTGCGGGAGACCTAAGGCATCACCTTTTTCTTATCCTTATTCTCAATTAAAATTGGGTCTAAGGATTCCCCAAATAGCTTTGCCCCCTTAAAAGGAGCGGAGGCCAGCTTCCATTTGGATCTCATGTCTGCATTCGAATGGCAAAGCCATAAGAGCCAACAAGAGGTAACATTAGATGCCAAAGTGATGGACACGAATTTCGCCGCATTGAGGGATGCATCTGTGGTATACTTGGCTGCGGCCACTATTTGGTTAACATCTTGGCACAGCCTGCCGTCCCCTGGAGACAGAGAAGCTGGCGAAGCCAGGCATTGGACGCCCTGCTAAAAAAGGAAGCCGAGGTGGAAGCCCTGATAGCCCATGCCGCAGCCTGGTGGGTCTCGTGGCAGGCTTTCTCCGCTTGCTTATCTTCCGCCTTAAGGCCCTCCAACAGCTCAGGTGGGAGAACAGACGTGGAGGTAAGAGCTGCTACAGGGGCGTCTATCGCAGGGAGCTTGAGAAGATCCTCCAAGCTGGGGTCAACAGCATAAAGCTGCTTGTCATTGCCCCCTGGGGTAGCTCAGTTACCCGACTGCACCCAGTGGCGCTGCACTACATCCTTGAAAAGTTTAGGGGCCGGGACCAAGTCCTGGGCCTGAATGTTTTCATCAAATAGCCCCCCAGTGGGATCAGAGGGATCGGTGATCCCCTGGTCAGTTGGTGGGGAAACCTCCTGGTGAGTGATCACCTTATGCAAAATAGATTTGAACAATGAGGGTTTAAACAACCCGGCAAAGGCAGGTTTGTCTGGAACCAACCCTTCGTCTTCATACAGGTCAGGTTCCGCCAGGTCCTCCTCCTCCAAGATAGAGCCAGTGCTAGTCACTGAGGGAGGAGACAAAGCATGCCTTCGTGCTCTGGACTTGCTTCTATGCCCCTTGGCTGATCTATTGTCACGTTATTTCATCCCCTGGGCGATGCCCTGGGAGATTGCCATGGCAATTATCGCCCACATCTCTGAGCTATCTCAGCTGATAAGAATGGGCCCCAGTCTTCTACCGGGTTGGTCCCCACCCTGGTGGCAGTGGAAGAAGATGGGGTCCTATGGAGCACTGGAGAAAGGGAAGAGGAATCCCTGTCCTCCATAACATCACAGCCAAAAAGATCTGCTCCCTCCCCAAGGTAAGGAGTATGGGACCTGGAGTCCCCAAAGGATCTATCTGGGGACAAGCCTTGAAGATCTCCCCCGCAGGAAGACAGAGGGTGTTCAGATGGATCAGGCCCCTGGTTCCCTGGGGACTCAGGTGGATCAGCTCGATGAACTTGAGCTACAGCCACAGTCTGTCTTTGGGCCCTGCTAGATTGATAATCCAGCGCCTTCTGGTGCCTGGAGGCCTCCCTATCCTGGCCTGCAGCCACCTGTCTGGTATAGGGGCGCTGCCTATTTTCCTTAAGGGCCTCCCTAGCAGCCCTGCCTGCCTTCCTGGTCCCTTCCTATCCTGCACTGAGGTTTGGGCTTCAGGCTCTGGAGCTTCCATTATGGCCTCTTCTTCCATTGCTGCCCGATTTGGCAGCCGAAAAAACCCCCAAGGGTGAAAGGCAGTCCAAGATGGGAAGGGGGGGAGGATGGCAGCCCCACTCACCACCACAGCAAAGAGCAAGCGCCCGCCAGCCGGTCACAACGCTGACTGAAGAGGGCTGGAACAAGTCTGGTGGGTCATAGGCAGGCACACAGCATGTGGAGGGTGGCAGCAGCCAAAGCCTCCAAAAGCTGCTCTGACCCGAGGCCTCCTCTCCGATACCTTCGGATGCTAAAAAGCCCGGATAGGAGCCAAACAAAATGGCCACTGGAAGTGTGGAAAAATGGCCAACTGAGACCTTCCCAAAATGGCCACGCCCAGTAAGCCATGAGGCCCGACTGAGACCTTCCCAAAATGGCTGCGCCCAGCAGAAAACCTACTGCATGGTCTGGAGCCTTGCCGCTGGTCGCACTGAAGCCAGACGGGTTGCCGAAGCCTCGGACAAGCCCACCGGCAAGGCGCAGCCCCAGAGAAGGCAATAAGGCCACTGGGGGCTGAAGACAAACAGCTCGAACCAGAGAGGTAAATACAATCTATCAATCAATTAAAACACTAGGAAAGAAAGGAAGTAAAAGTAAAACACTCTAAGGAGCCAAATACGATAGGAAAAGAAGAAAAAAACTCTATACCATAGAGCTATGGTAAAATGTGTCCTGATGGGCTTTGGACTGAATTGAAAAACTGGAGCTACAGAAAGCCAGGAGGCGTGGCCAAGGATTCAATCCAGTCCTTGTGCAGTGTGACAGAATTTAACCCAAGCAGTGCACAGGAGAAAGCCAGATTCACTGAACAACTGGGTTACTTACTTGTCAACTGTGGTGATTCACTTAACGACTGTGGCAAGAAAGGTTGTAAAATGGAGCAAAAGTCACTTAACAAAAGTCTCACTTAACAACAAAAATTTTGGGTTCAATTGTGGTCACAAGTCAAGGTATTCGGGAACGAACATTCCCAGTGTTGAGCAGAGCTAGGCCTTGTTATCAATACAGGTAGTCCTTGACTAGTGATCACAATTGGACCAGAATTTCTGTCGTAAATTGCTGCAATTGTAAAGACAAGATATCATGTGTCTTAAAAGACCCCAGTAAAGGCAGTGAAAAGGGTCTGAAAAGAAGGTAGCCAAGGCAGCAAGGCACTTCTGCTTCAGCCTTGGGTGTAAACGGCAAAAGATTGATGCAGAGAACTGGGAGTTGGGCAAGCTGCACGGTTCTGGGACTGCTTGCTGCCTCCCAAGTCTGCTGCAGGGTGGCTAAAAAAGGAGAGATTTGAGGGAGGGTGGAGAAGAGGGAATAGGAGGGGCAGAATAGCAATAGCAGTTAGACTTATATACCGCTTCATAGGGATTTCAGCCCTCTCTAAGCGGTTTACAGAGTCAGCATANCAGGCTCCTCCCACCTATGACGCCCTCCATCAAATGGAATATCTCGATATGGTGGTGAATGAAACTTTCCGCCTTTACCCTCCGGGAACACGGCTTGAGAGAATTTGCAAAAAGACAGTGGAAGTCCATGGGGTGACCATCCCAAAGGGAACCGTGGTTTTGATTCCCGCTTACGTCCTACACCGCATCCCCGAATATTGGCCTGAGCCCGAAGAGTACAGGCCTGAAAGGTATGTATGTCCTTTCTGAAACCGAGTGAATAAGAGACACAACGGCGTGAGGACATCAGCTGGACATCAGTTGTAACTTCTCAAATGAGACGCGGATCATTCTTCGACATCTTGCAAAGTCACACAGGGCTTATTTTACGATCCACATCCATAAACCTGTGCGTGGAACTTAATTAACTCCATGGGAGAGAACGACGCCTAAGTTGACTGTAGCAGCCGAGACAATGGCTTGGTTTAATGTTCGAACAACTGAACAAAAAGCTGGAGGGCAGCTGGCATCCAGCCACACTGATAGGAGGAGAAGAGTAAAAGTACAGGAAATAATTATATTTAATCTACCATCTTAGAAAAGATTCCCTCCTTGAACCGTGGCGCGTGGGTCAAAATAGGAGAAATGGGCCTCGTTCACCCTACATCGTAGCTGTCACTAATTGGATGCCGTAGTAGACTCAAGGATTCTTGGGCATAACGTCTTGAGAAATCCAAATTAATTAAGCAGAGACTACTTCTAAACACTTCTCTTTGCAATTCCTCACCTGTAGACAGAATCTTGCCAAACTGAAGCATCTACTTGCATCATTAAAAATATACTTGTCAGAGGCGGAGAATCAGAACATACGTTAAGTTGCAGTTGAGATTTATTGCTCAAGCCAAAAGCTTAAGTTCAACACCAAATTGGCACCAGATAAGGATGAATGGAGGTTGAGGGGTTGAACTTAGACCGTGGGGACATAATGACCACCTCCCCAGCTATGCCCACTCTTCTCCTAAAATACTCTGAGAATTAGTACAGAAGGGCTGCCTTAATTCTTTTCCCGCCAACCAAACCATATACATTTCAGTCTCTTGTTTCTCTGAAATGCAGCCCCTGCCACCAGGGAATCAAGTCTACATTCCACCACATCAGTTTAGCCACTGAACTCCAATAATCTCTCTCTGCAAACACTTGGTCTCACTCCAGTTTATCCGGTAGTGAAGGAGGGAAAGGTGTTGTCTTACTTACAGAACCGAGGTACAGACTATTGGGAATAGTAGCTTTACTCAGCCGTGACTCTTTTCTGATTTCCACAAATAGGTTTAGCAAAGAGAACAAAGAGAGCCTAGAGCCCTATGCATTCCTCCCTTTCGGGGCGGGTCCCAGGAACTGCATCGCTATGCGCTTCGCCCTCCTGGTGCTGAAAATGGGCCTGGTGGTCGCGCTGCAAAGATTTCGCTTCCAAACCTGCAAAGAAACCCCGGTGAGTTTTACAACTTGGGTTGGACGCTGCTTCCCGCTCGTCCGCTAAAGAGTTTACTCAACCGATTTTTTTCCATCTCACATCTATGTCTTGTTCAAAGACACGAGGAGGGGAGGAACAGGAAAGCAAGATCTCTTTGGAAAGACAGGGTTATCTTATCAGGTCGATCCTGTCTGTCTGTCTGTCTGTCTGTCTGTCTGTGTACTCCAACACCTAGGTTTTGCTTCTACATCTTACTGAGAATAGAGTCTTATTTGCTACTCATAGCAGCGTGAAGCCCCTAGTGAAGTGTTGTAAGAATTACAACACAGACAGTGTGTGTGGGGGGGGG